AGAGGTACAGGGAACTGGCTCCTCTCTTCCCGTGGGCAAGTGCCTCCCGGAATCCTTAAATAACTCAGTTTTGGAGCTTTCAGGGAAGCTGAGCACCATTTTTGTGAGGAGTCACTGCACCACCATGTGGCCACTCTTGGGAACAGCACTTTTCTCAACTTCCTCCTAAGAAAAGTGTTCTGCGCTGAAAGAGCCTTTAGAAACTCTCCTCATTTTGCAGTTGAGGACAGCAGAGATGACTTGCCTAATTTTTCAAAACACCTTTTTATTTTAACTTTCTTATGGACATATTATTCATATGAGTGACTACATGTATGAAAAGCAGACAACAAAAAACACATACAAAATCTTTCAGTTTTTCATTTAAATGCAAGGGTGGCATCCCTGTCAGGTCCTCTGTCCTAAGTCCAGACCACTGACGAAATGCAGGGACGTGCAGACATCACTGCTCCTAAACTAATCTTCAGCAACAACCATCTTGCCAAGAGGCCAACACGATGTTTTGGTTAAATTTGAGCCATTTCAAAAGTTGTTTTCTGAGATATGCTAGTTCAGGATGAAATGGTGAAATAGGAAACATGGCTACTAAGAATTAATCCTAAGGTGACAATCTGAATGCGTATATTATCTTGAGATATAAAAATCAATTCTATAATATCTTTGTGTCGTTTTCTCTCTTTTTTCTCCTCTTCATTTTTTTCTGATAATAAAAGTAACAGATGTCATTAAAGAAAACATGGAGATTTTAACTGGGGGAGATGGCATAGAAATCACTTAAACTTCCATAACCCAACAGTAATTCTGTTAATATTTTGGCACTTTAGATCCCTTCCAAATGCTTTATGTGTAAGATATCAAATAAGTCATTTTATTTATCCCACTAAATTAGTTGAGAGTTTCTTTAAAAAGGACTTCTCATACTTATAGAAATTATTTCACTCTTCACTTTAAGCCCACATAACCAAAAACAGCCATCAACTCTGGGACTTTAAACAACTGTCAAACAGCTAAAAAAAACAGCAAAGTTAACTTGGTTTGGGCCACTTTTGTCCAAGGTGGCAAGTCCAGCCAGTCTGTTCACTTGTTCATGAATGCTTTCCTTAATTATTTCTGAAAACCCCTAGGGCATTGGCTACTCCCTGCATCTTTTTATTTGCCTGTCCAAAGATGTTTTCACTGGATTCTAGATCATTTGGAATGGGAGCACCATAAATCAGCAAAACTAGAACACTCTAGGCTTTGAAATTGTTTCAAATCAAGGCAGTTGACTCCTTCCGACTGCCTGGCTAATAGTAATAATATCAATAATGGTGAAGGTAACATCTATGAAGCTTTTACAAACGTCTCATTTAATCATCTTAACAAGCCCATTTCACAAAAGAAGAGTTATTAAGTCATGGCCCTACTTCACACGGCTAATATTCAGACAGAATAACCTCGGCCCTAACCCCTGGAATTGTGTCAGCTTCAGTACCCAGAATCCCAAACATTTACCAGATACTCAATGCTTAGCCAGCCTGAGGTATTCTGATTCTTTTCAAACTGTATCAGTGTGATTACAACCAAGGCAATGGGTGATATTTAGAAAATTTATACCTGTTTCTCTTTTTTGCCCTTTTTGAATAGGTCAACCTAAGAAGCCCATCTCTGGGGAAATACTAGGATATTTTACAAAAAGAATGCAAAGAGGAAAAACAAGCTAATATTCAGCTTCTGAAATATAAAATAGAATTATTCAGAAGACAGTATCCTACTGTCCTAAAGGGGAATTTTTCTAAACTTTTATTACCCTGAGTCAGAACCCAACTCACAGAGTGTGGAGGGGATAGAGCCCCGGGCCCCTGACGCCACGCTCCTACGAGGCTTGCTGCTCAAAGATAGGACTCTGGAAATAAAAGCAAAGTCCTCCTCCACTGTGTGTGTGTGTGTGTGTTTTTTTTTTTAATAAAAGAGAGAAAGTTGGAAGGCAGGAGAGCAAGACTGTTGGTCACGTGTCCCAAACTGCCCCATTCCAGACTTTGGCCCCCAGAGCAAGGGGCACGTTAGTGTTAACACCGAGGGCAAGAGGGGTTGCGTGTGGCCTGCTCCCCACTGGGGCTCATGGGGAATAACTACGGCAACCAGCTATGTGATGACCATATCAATGAGGAAGCCCAGTGTGGAGGGTGTCTCTTCAACTCAGCTCTCCAAAGCGACTCTTGGGTCCCATGGGGTATCAGGGATGAATCAGGGTGCAGCAGACCAGCCGTGATGCTGCTGTGGCAGAGGCTGGGTGGACCTGCGAGCCAGCGCATTAGCGAGAGGACATGCTGGAGAGCCCACAGCCTGCGGCCGCTGGGAGCCACATTTATGCCAGACCAGCCACAGGGACACTACCAGGTTCTGCACAAGCCAGGGAAAAAAATGGGGCAACAAGATACCAGTCACTGACTTCACAACAAAATGCAGGCAAGGCAAACAGCAGCCAGGTAAACATGAACATCAATCACCTGGACTCCAGAGGGCATGGGGCCCAGAGATCCCTCCCTTCAGAACTCCTCATCCAGATGTCTGCATCTCTGAGGGACTTAGGAGGGAAGGATAGCGACCACAGAAAGGAGTTTTCTCCCTAGGGAGACTAAGCACTACTTAAAGGAATGCATTAAATTATCAGATTGAACTAATTTAAACCATGATGAACACTAGGAATTAGGAATTTTTTTTCACCTAGTAGCCAACAGATGGGTCATCCTTAAGAAGATCGATTCAGCTCTAACCAAAAGAGAGGTATTATTTTTTTGGAGGTTCCTGATGAATGTGTCAGATTTAATATATACATCTATTTTTACTTTTTTCTAAAACCAGAACTACAGTAAAGGAAGCTTTCAAATGACACAAACCCACAAGAATGGGAAGACCAGGAGAAGAGACCAAAGCAACACAACACGGAAGCTAGAAACAGAAGGACCAGTGACAATGAACTTAGCAGGGTTGAGAAAGCTGAATCTCATCTGAACAGTGGACAAAGCTGAGAAGAACGAACCCAATTAACACCACAGAATCTTTAAAGGGTTCAGGAACTGGAGGCCCCAGGGTCTCTGGAACAGAAAGTGCAAGGGCTGTCCGGAAGAAGGAGGACCAAAAGAGCACTAGTTCAGCAGCAATTAGACTCCCTAGATTCCCTGCCATCTCCACATTTCCCCTTCTCCACCTTGGTAGAAGCCTGAAGATTTGTTCTCTGAAAAGAGCAACACAGTTTCTGGATCTAGGGTAGAGTAGCGGGCATAGATACCTGACTCCAGATGGGGAGAGAGGGACTGTGCACAGTGAATAGTGAATACACCAAACTTTGACCATCTTTCCTAACTCAGCTTCCAGAACCCTGGCACGAGGACCCTTACCCTCCAGGCAGGAAGTTGTAATCTGGCCAGTCTAAACTGATGCAGAATGGCACAAGAGGCAGATATGACGAGGGCCACCTTCACTAAGACCCTCGCCTCAACTGAGCCATCTTTTTAACTCGAGTATAGAATGTGCTAGTGAGTCAGGCACAAACTCTTACCTGTCCTTGGCTTGTCCTGACCTTGTGCTGATTGGCCCTCCTCCAGGCTCCCTCATACCCTTCAGCCTAGGCCCTCTGAGGACATTTCTTTCATACCAAAGAATCACCCTCCTTTGCATACTCCCCAGGGCCCCAGAGAGGTGGTGGTGAGTCAAGAAGCAGAAAATACAAAGCAGCCTCTCCGTTTGGCGACATTCATCTCAGGTGGCCAGAGCCCAGTCCATCCTACAGCCCAGCGAGATGTCCCAACTGTGCTGACAGTGTTTTGTGCTCAGGCTCTTGCCCACTGACTTCCCCCCAAGGAGCTCTTATAAACTCTCAGGAAAACTGAGGCCCGACTAAGGTGCGGAGACTGTTCGGTTTAGCATCTCTGGAGGCAGCAATGGAACAGGGGCCACGGCACACTTTCCACACAGGGCCACACCTGTGCTTATCACGCAACGTTCCAAAAGCCACGTGACTTACTTTGTGGGGATTCATACGTGAGTGGTAAACTACAACCCTTAGTTGTCACAAGAAAGCAACGATAAAAGAAGTAAAGGTGTTCAGATCACACCTGGGCTGGCCCACGCACTCACAGCCCTAAGTGACACGGAAGACTCGGGCACCACTCCGGGAAGCAGAGGCACAGACGGCGCGTGCCGCGGGCCCTGCTAAAGGAGGGCGGCGCCGAGAAGCGAGGCCCGCTCCCCACAGCACACGGCCCGCCGCTCGCCCCGCCACCTCAGCGCTCGCAGGGTGCCAGCTGTGTGGCCCGAGAGCAATGGGGGGTTTTAAATGATCGCTTAGATCTTGAGAAAACTAGACAGACTTTCCCGAAGTGTGCCCCTCGGCACCCCGGGCCCAAGAGATGCTACACAATAAAAGAAAAGTCAGTGTTCCCAGAGGAACGCTGGGAGGCCTCATGTCTGCAGTGCCCACCGCGCCTGGCACAGGGGAGGACTCAATAAGGCATGTGTGTTGAGTGACGCCCAGAGAAAACCGCCAACCTCTCGTCTGATAAAAACCCGGCAGCATGCCACAAGCCGGCACGCAGCCTCCCCGCCACACGGCCCGCCACGCCAGCCTCCCCAAGCCCGGCCACGCCAGCTCCCGCCGACGCGCCACGCCAGCTCCCCCGCCCGCGCCGGCCACGCCAGCCTCCCGCACACACCCGCACGCCGCCTCCCGCCACACGCCGGCACGCCAGCCTCCCGCCACACGGCCCACGCCAGGCTCCCGCCACAGCGGCCATGCCAGCCTTCCGCCCGCGCCGGCCTGCCGCCGGAAGACGGGCCTGCGACGCGAGGCCGGCCTCCCAATAAAACTGCTATGTTTTATTGTTAAATGAAAACATAGCAGTCTTCCTCTAGGAGGTAAGATGGGTGAAAAATCACTCGAAAACTTGGTGAAGGCGGGGCGCGGTTCGTCCAGCATCCCGCGCAGTCTAGCAGAAACGTTTAGTTTAGACTCAAGCAAAACTCCAAGCGCAGAGGGGAAGTCCTGTGCGCTGAAACGCCGGGAGGGTGATGTGAAGGCCTTGGAATACGAGAAAACAAAACTGAGAGACGCCCCCCCCCCCAGCCCGGGTTTCACAGAGCAACGAGCAGAAACTGAAACCAACAGACGCTCCTATTGACAAGTTCACCTTCTGAAGCCCTGTAACCCAGAAACTCTCTCAAATTATTTAAAACGAGCGAGCGATTTCCCGTCACAGAGCCGAGGCCGAGCCCTGTCAGACGCTGGGAGGTCGCGGCAGACTGGAGGGCCGGCGCCGCTCGGCTCCGAAAAGAACGAGGAGGAAAGGCGAGATGCCTCCTCCCCCGCTTTCTCCGGGCTGTGGAGTCTGCCACTTGCCACATGAGCGACGACAGCGACGTGGCCAGGTCCAACATGCCGAGAAATGGGGGAAGTGACACTGGGTGACATTCTCCACGAGAGCGGTGAGTAACTGTGTCAAAAAGTGCGTGGTCTGCTACCCCTGCCGGCTTCAGCGTGACACCTCCCCACCGAAACAGTGAGCCAGCAACAAAGAGCAAATGTCACAGAAAACAAATCTCTCACAGCCGGTCCCTCGCAGCTGCGGCTTGGGAGGGAGGAGGCCGGCTGAGAACACGGACGTCATGAAGAGCGTGTCCCCCTTTAGTGTTCTTATACCCATGCACCATGATTGAGCGTCCCCATGGGCCAAGTTCTCTGCTGAGTTTCTCCTTAAAACACTTTATCTCATTTACATGGCCACGAAGGGCCCCACAATCAGCTTAGTTAATAATGGGAGAGTTATAAACACCAGAGCGGGCAACAGGGAGATGGACATGACATACATGCACATGAACACACACACCCCTCTCTCCATGGCCAGGCTATCATTTTATAAATTAAAAGGAACTTTAGAGCAAGTAGTCCATTCAAGCAGGCCTGCCTTGCCCTGGTACCAGCAGAAAAGGGATGTTTATGTGCTAAAGACAGATGAGCAATTAGGGCTCTTCTAGCATTACCCCCATGCCCCATGGATGGTCCCACCCTCATTTCCCCTTCTGCTCCTGCTCTGAGTCATGCACAGCCCTGGTCCATGCACCCTCAGTGTGGGCATCTCTGCCAAACCTCGTGCCCTAGAGACAGCAAAGTTGTAGGTACTGTTCAGAATTTTGCCAGGTCAGGGATCTTTTAACTCAACAAGGCTATCCCTGGGATAATCCTCCCCTCTTCACCACCCTCAGCAACACCATAATCCTTCCCTTGCCCCCAAACTGTCTGAGTGCACAAGCAAAGAGAAATGAGTTAGAGGAAAAAAGATGAATTCTATTCTCACATTGTCTGAGTGCCTAGAATACATATCTGGCATGTAGTAAATTACATATCTGTGAACTAGTATTTATTGTTAAATGAAAACATAGCAGTTCCTCTAGGAGGTAAGATGGGTGAAAAATCACTTGAAAACTTGGTGAAGGTTTTCACATTTATGTAAATAGGCGAGAGGAAGAGATGGGACCCATGAATGGGCTTCAGGGGGAGGGGTCCATCGGTTCTGGTCTTGCTATTTTTGTGTGTGTTCTAATGAACTCCTCAGATGCTATCAATCAGGAATCTATATGTTGTGTATTTTATACCTACAGGGTATTCTCTCCCGCAAGTACCTCAATGCACATGAGTGCTAGATTGCTACATTACAGAACCAGGTGGGAAGAAAGTGATTTCCTTGGATAAAACAGAAATCTAGAAAGAATTGTAACAGGAATCAATACTGGGTACCCTTTGTCTCTCTCCCTTGACGGTCACTTACCAGACTTTATAACCTAACAAGTCCATGCTTTTAGCTTCACTTAATGTAGGCCAAGAGTCAAAGGCACAGCTTCATCTTTTTCTTGTCACCATAACCCAGTGGCTCTTTTTTTCCCACTCATTATCCATTTCTATCATTTGACCTTCTATTATTTTCTCAAACATTCCTTCAAACTTCAGTATTATCATGCATTTCTCCTTTCTTTCCATTTTTTCAAGGTCCCCATATTTTGCTCCTACCCTGAACATTTCTCATCCCCTGCCTGTTCATCCCATCTTTATTTCATATTCTCACTCTTACTCACCCAATTGAACATTTCTATTTGCCTTTCTCATGGGATTACCCATATA